GTTTTCCTCCTCTGCCAGCTCAGTTCGCGTCATCCACGTGAATGCGCTGGCAAGGTGAAGTCTTGCGATATATCTTAACCGTTCATGAAGTTCTAGAATGATGCTTGAGCTCCAGTGACTGTCCATCGAGCTGATCCACGTGAATGCGCTGGCAACCGTTGCTCGAATTTTGGAGGGAGCATGGGGCTCCGATGACCTCGGGTCGAGCCTAACAAGGCTCCGAAGCTTGTGGAGTCCCAAGGCTGGACCCACACCATGCCGAACCGCGCAGGCCCCGCTGTGCGAGCTACCAACGGCGAGAAAGCAAACTTCGCTCCCTTGGCTAGCCGTGATTACAATTGGCAAACCGATTGGCTCTTTGCCTTCAGTCACATCTCGTTTGCTCCACACTTTCTAGAATCACATCCTGCCTGAACGCTGCTCTTGGTTTTCGCTGGAGATCCTGTTTGAAACCCTCTAGAAGTGCTGCTACACTGTTGCTGGTTCCTTCCAGCTCCCACACCTTATATACGATGGCGTTTCTTCACCCCGAATCGGCCCTTGCTGTGGCTGTTGCTGCTGCCGCTTGCTTTGGCGACGCTGCCCAATACATCTGTGAGGTTCCAAGCTGGTTGGCCTGCTCGCCAGCAAGCTCCACTCCGTTTGAATGGCTGACGGAGTGGACTGATGCGGATGAAATAGAGTTGAGAAGCGGCTCTGTCAAGAGCAGCTCAACTCGGAATGATGAGGATGAGCTGCTGCCGCTGCTGCTGCTGGCGGATTACAATTCGGTGAACCCTAGTGAGTTCATCACTGCTGAATGGACGGATGCGGATGAAGCGTACCTGAGGTCTGGTGCTCTCAACCGTCGTATTACTGAAGATAGCTGCGAATGGTTGACAGAAAGTTCGCAGGTGGACCCCTCTGAATTCATCACCGAGTGGACGGACGATGATGAGGCATATCTGAGAGACACGACTGTCAGGTGCTTCTCAGGACCGAGTGCGGGTGACATGCTGCTGCTGTCGCCAAAGCTGAAGCCTATGACAACAGCTGCTGTGGCGTACAGGGTTGGCAGGTTTGCTGAAGTGACCAGCAGGCGGGAATTTCGGGCTCCTTTAGGTTTTTCACGGTTGAGACCTGCTGTGGTCCGGGCTGCTGCTGCAGCTATGGGTGCTGTTGCTTCTGCTGTGGGTGCTGCTGCTGATGCTGTGGTTGCTGCTGCTGACGCTGTGAGCGCCGCTGCTGCCAATGCTGCTGCTGCTATTGCTGCATCGCCTGCTGAATCAAAATCATCATCGTTGGTCAGATCCCCTTCTTGCAAGCCAGCAGCAAAGACAACAGCTTGCAAGCCAGCAGTCAAGGCTGCAGCTCCCGAGCCTGCAGTCAGGGCTACAGCTGCCAAGCCTGCAGCTCCCAAGCCTGCAGTCAAGGCTGCAGCTCCCAAGCCTGCAGTCAAGGCTGCAGCTCCCAAGCCTGCAGTCAAGCCTGCAGCTCCCAAGCCTGCAGTCAAGGCTGCAGCTCCCAAGCCTGCAGTCAAGGCTGCTGCATCCAAGCCTGCGGTCAATGCTACAGCTCCCAAGCCTGCGGTCAAGGCTGCAGCTCCCAAGCCTGCAGCCAAGGCTGCAGCTCCCAAGCCAGCAGCCAAGACTGCAGCTTGCAAGGCTGCAGTGAAACCAAGAGCAGCTCCTGCCACAGCCAGTGCCAGTGCTGCTCGTGTGGCACCCCTAAGGCAGGCAGTGCAGAAGGGGTCGCAGGGAAGAACAAGGAGGACAAGTGGGTAAATAAGCCAGGCTGCACAAGCAGCCTTACAGAAACAATTATCCCAGATTCCTAGGTGGAAATAAAGATTTGCTGGTTAATTTGTATATATTTATGTATCATGTAAATTTTATCAACCAATGTGTGAATTTTGACCTGTTTGGTGAATATATCTTCTGCGTTGTTCAACAGTTAGTGGGGTCCAAAAGTTTAGTACAAATCTTTTGAATATGAGGAGTCCACCTCCAGTTTCAAACGTCTTCTCTTCAGCTTCATACGAGTTTCTTGGGCCTGATTTCAGTGTGCTCCTGTCGCTGGAGAATGCTGAGGGACCTTGAGTCCAGGCTCTGAATTCCAATTTCCCATGCATTTCGCCCTTTCGGTTTTCAAAAGTTGGCCATCTAATTCCTTTTTCCGATGCTCAGGCACGAGCTTCTTCCATTTTCCATAATCCATGCATCTTCCCATGCATCTTCGCATGCATCTTCCCATGCATCTTCCCATGCATCTTCCCATGCATCTTCGCATGCATCTTCCCATGCATCTTCCCATGCATCTTCCCATGCATCTTCCCATATCTTCCCATGCATCTTCCCATGCATCTTCCCATGCATCTTCCCATGCATATTCCCATGCATCTTCCCATGCATCTTCCCATGCATCTTCCCACGTATCAACCGCTTGGTTCCCATTTACTGTCCATCTAACATCTGATCTCCGTTTTCCATTCACCCACCATATGTTCTCTTGTAATCCTTCCATTCAGTACCTGATTTCTTACTTTCGTGTATCAATTATCCAGTTCCCATCATATATGCATCAGGCATGTGATTCCCATTCCCAATGCTTCATTCATCGATTCTCATTTCCCATGCATCAGGCGTTGGATTCTCCTGTTTCCCATATATCAGGCATCCGATTCCCACTTTCCATGCATGAAGCATTCTCTTTCAAGTGTCTGTAAATAAAGCATCTGATTCCTGTTTCCATTCATCAACCATGTGATTCCCAGTAATCTGTACATTCAGCATCTATTTTTGTTTTTACATACAGAATATACTTGGATTCCAGGTGGAAATGAAGAGTTTCTGGATGTTTTGTTGGATATTTGTCTACATGTTCATCTACGTATAGTGTTTACGTCAACCAGTATTTGGGATGATGAAGCTGGTTGGAGCAGGGCTGTTATGCTGGTCCGACAGTCTTCCCCACGTGCAGATGTTTCATTGCCCTCCTCTTTCTGTGATGCACTTGCCATTCAATTGATGACCTTGAGTGCGGTTTGGGTATTCACCGCACCGCACTCAAAGTGTTCAAGTTCTCACTTCACATGCATTTGTTTCTATGTGATCTCCTGTGCAATTTATGATTAGGCATCCCGAACCTTAGCTTTCGCATTTTGCCATTGTGATGCATTTTTATCGTTTTCCAATTTCCAGGCAACCCATTTGCCCCAGTTCCAAGCTTGCTTTGTTTTCCGTATCGGTATTCTTTGGTGACTTACCCTTCGCGTTGTTGTGTGCAAGTCGTATGTGCTTGATGGTTGTTACAAACAGGTACACTGTGATGTGAAGGGTGTTGCGAACAAGTACACTGATTTTGCTGACAGGTACTCTTGGCCATGAAGGATGTTACTGCAGGTACTACACTAAATGCACTGAGAAGGTCCATCATGGAAGATGCTGATAATATCCTCACTGTTGAAAAGAGAATACAGACAGGTACCGTACTATGTTATTTGAGGGGTGTGTGGGAGTGTGGGTATGAGAGCTCTGTTCCAGCCAGCCTATCTGCCTGCTGAAATTGTTGCTGCCTGTTGTGAAGGGATGTGCTTGAAGGCATGTGCTTGAAGGCATGTGCTTGAAGGTATGTGCTTGAAGGCATGTGCTTGAAGGCATGTGCTTAAAAGGCATGTGCTTGAAGGTATGTGCTTGAAGGCATGTGCTTGAAGGCATGTGCTTGAAGGCATGTGCTTGAAGGCATGTGCTTAAAAGGCATGTGCTTGAAGGTATGTGTTTGAAGGCATGTGCTTGAAGGCATGTGCTTGAAGGCATGTGCTTGAAGGCATGTGCTTGAAGGCATGTGCTTGAAGGCATGTGCTTGAAGGCATGTGCTTGAAGGCATGTGCTTGAAGACATGTGCTTGAAGGCATGTGCATGAAGCCATGTGCTTGAAGGCACATGCAAGCGTGCAGTGCTGAGGCATGGCATGGGAGCATGCATGGCCTCGATGTGAGGCCGGAAACATTACCATTATGGTTTATGTACAGTAATGGTGCTGATTGGAAACTAATTACCGTTTTAAAATATCACTGCAATGCAGTTGAAGGGCATCAGTCGCGCTAATTTCAGAACCCTGGCTCCATATTTCGCCCTAGCTAGTGTATGCAAGCGTGCTTCCGCGGGGGCAAGTATCAATTGGACAGTTTGATGTCATAAAGTACATAGACTTGCAAAAGATCCGTGTATTTATCTCCAATCTTGTTACATTACGAGCTGCCCTGAGAGATTGGATGAACCATGAGTACTATACCAGCTCCCATTTTCGAATATTCCGAGTCATGTCAAACCATGACTCAGCACCTACGGTACATCAATTGCAACATCTGCTGTCTACCCTGGTTGCTCCTCTATATATCTACAACGCAAGTGCCGCCTGAGACGATGTCCCAGCTTGAGTGTGACGGAGAGGTAAGGTGAGGTCAGGTAATGGCGATGAGAGTGGAGTGAGTGTGGAGCGAGTGTGTCGGGGGTGTGGAGGGAATGTGGAGGAGGTAAGGCGAGGTTAGTCAAACGAAGGTAGGGTAAGTGTGGGCTTGGCTTGCAGCTGGGCGAGCAGTACCTGCAGCATGGCGTCACACTCCACCTCCCTCGCCTCCGAGGGGTTCGCGACCGGCAGAGGTAAGGTGAGGTGAGGTGATACCGTAGCCAGGAAAGTGATGGAGTGTGGAGGGAGAGTGAGGGAGTGCGGAGGGATTGTGGAGGGAGTGCAGGGGAGGTGAGTCGAGGTTAGTCAGACAAAAGAAGGGTAGGTGTGGGCGTGCAGCTGGGCGAGCAGGACCTGCAGCATGGCATCACACTCCACCTCCCTCGCCTCCGCCTTCTGTGCTCTCCGCTCCTCCTCCTGCCACCACCAGCACCAAGAACAGGCACAGAGAAGGGAGCGTGTGTGAGGCATAGGCAGGACACTAAGTCTCCCGCGGGTGACATTTCTGTGCTCTCAATTCTCAGCATCACACACACCCAACCCGCTTCACTGCCTCACGCCAAATTAACGTCTTCAGCCAGTCGCCTCTTCTCCTGCTCCCCCAACCTCTCAATCCACGATTCGGCCAAGCAAACAAGAGCAAGAGCTTGATCATATCTGAGATCCATGCAACACCCATTCCCTCCCCCCATCACTACCTCGCGCCACTTCACATCTTCAGCCAGTCGTCGCTTCTCCTGCTGCTCCAGCCGCTCAATCCAAGCCTCGCCTCTCTCCTTCCCCCTCTCCTCCACCCGCTCGCCCTCATCGCCCCACTGCCCCTCCAGCAGGGCATGCTGCTGCAATAACTCCCCCTGCACCTCCCACATCTTATCCAACCGCTTCTTATCTACCTTCATCCCTAGCCACCCCTCACCCAGCTTTCTCCGCAAGCCCTCCTTCTCAGCATCCCCCCTCGTGTCCACTCGCGTCCTCCCTGCGCCTCTGCCTGCTGCGCTTGCCCCTGCTCTGCCACGCCTTCCCCTCCCCCCCGCCTTTCCCCCCTTGCTTCCTCTCTTCCGCTTCTTGCCGGCTGCATCTCCCTCCTCCCATTCCTCCTCCCCATCGTCTCCCTCCCCGTCCCCGCCCTCCTCCTCCTCTTCTTCCTCCTCTTCCTCCTCCTCCCCGCCTTCCTCCCCCTCCACGTCCTCCCCCTGCATCCCAAACAAGCTATCCGAGCCAAACAACGAACCCCCTCCCGCAGCAGCCCGTGACGAGCCTGCAGGTCCGGCGCCCGCCGAGCCTGCAGGTCTGGTGTCCACGACGCCATGGCCCAGGGCGGCCACTCGAGCAGCCTGCTCGGCGCGGATTTTAAAGATGACGGTTAGCTCGTCAAAGAACGGACACGCCTTGCCCTGCCTCTCTGACAGCTCCATGCTCTGGCGGGGGGAAAAGGTCAGGGTGAGGGAAACGGGGGCAGGGGGAAGGGAGAAGGGGTTGCAGTGCATGCACGGCCTGCTCTGCACGGATCTTGAAGATGACTGTGAGCTCGTCAAAGAACGGACACGCCTTGCCCTGCCTCTCTGACAGCTCCATGCTCTGGCAGGAACGGGGAAAGGGGGAGAGAGGTATGAGGGGGGGGAGGGGAGGGGAGGGGAGAGAGGATGTGGGGAGGGGTTGCAGTGCATGCACGGCCTGCTCGGCGCGCAGCTTGAAGATGGCTGTGAGCTCGTCTGAGAACGGACACGCCTTGCCCTGCCGCACTGACAACTCCAAGGGGGTGGGGGGGGAGAGGTATGTTGGGGGAGGAGGAGGGGGGAGAGAGGGATGTTGGAAGGGGTTGCATTCACGACCTGCTCGGCGCGCAGCTTGAAGATGGCTGTGAGTTCGTCTGAGAACGGACACGCCTTGCCCTGCCACTCGATAGCTCCGTGCTCTGAATGGGGGGGTGGAGGGAATTGGGGAGAGGGAAAGAGATTGGGGAAGAGGGGACGGGGCAAAGGGGGAGGGGGGGGGGGAGGGGGGGGGGGGGGGGAGGGGAGGAGGGGAAATAGGGAATTTCCTATGGGGGGGGAGGGGAAGGGGGCGGGAGTGGGGGGGAGGGGGTCTGAAAGGAGTGGGAAGAAACAAATGGTGTGTTGCCTTGTTGAACAGCACGGTGCTTACCGTACTCGTTAGTAGCGTTGCTAGCACAACGGATCACCTTGTATCGGTTGAAGAGCACGGTCCACTTGGCCTTGCATTGCACCATGGATCGCTGATACCCCTGCTTCTTCATCTCGGTCGAAACCCACTCCCACATGCGCTTCCCGCCAAAATCCACCGCCCCGCCATCCTCCTCGTCATCATCACTGGCGTTGCCGGCCTTGGCGTTGATCGACCGACTCGTTTCGCGCTCCACGCGTTCCCGCAGCGCGATCAGCGCGCGCGCCTCGTCCGCGGACCATCGCTCCATTGAGTCTCGATAGTGACTATAACGAAAGTACAGCAGCTGCCGCAGGTTGGTTGAGAGACTGTCAGTCAACGTTTGCTCCTGTGCCCCCCTAATTGGATGGTATACCACAGAAGCTCTGGGAGTCAACACCCTGCAGCTCTGGGAGCTCTATGCGATTAACGCGCGCGCCTCGTCCGCGGACCACCGCTCCATTGAGTCTCGATGGTGACTATAACGAGGGGAGATGGAGCCGCGGGGATGGAGCGAACGGTGTAGGGTGGTTGGCAGGCTGCTAGTCAGAGTTTGCTCCGGTGGGCCCTTATTTCGCTAGGTGTCCACAGAAGCATGAGTGTTAATCTAGGTTTGCGAAACAAAAGCTCTGGGCAGTTCGCTAAGAACGAACATGAACGGCCAATAAGCACGGCTTTTGAAGAACTGGACGGCGTGCGACGAAAGCGGCGGGTTACTCGTCGACACTCGGGCAGTCTCGTCTTAACGTCGTTCACCCTGAAGAAAATCACAGAAAGTCTGCGAAAAGAGCGAGCTATACCCCCTAAGCCTCAGCAGGACCATACGCTATCAGCTATTCTTGCCGTAACTGTGCCTGGTGGTGGGCTGGAGAGCCAGGTCGGGAGGGAGAAGCATCTGGTTTGAAAACTGTTACGGGTGCAATGAATCGAAGTAGCGAGAATTGCACTAAGGTGTCAAACGAGTACAAAATGTGAGCGAAGGCATGAGCGAACATTTATACGCGAAACATGCAAACGGTAACGCGGTGCGTGCGAGCTAGCTAGTGCTACGCTGGCAGCGAGGCTCGGGCTAGTCCCGAAACGTAGGCCGACACGGCCGGGCCAGTAGTGCGAGGTTTGGTGAAACAGTGCGCGCGAAGTCGGCAAAGCCCCGTTAGCAGTAACGGGCGAACAACGGCTGCTGCTGTACGCGATGTTGCAGGGCGCGCTAAGGAATATCGAGAAAAATCCTTACACTGTCAAATTATATATGCATGTTTAGGTTATCTAGACTGTATGGGGGTTAGCACTAGGGGGTACAGAAACTTTCTCGACACTCTAGTCTTGTACCCCTCCCTTGACCTAATCTCCATCATTCCCTTGACTTAGTCTTAACATGGTATCTAGAGCAGGAGGTCTCTATGTCCTAAGAATCGGGCCCACCTAACTGTGTTACCACCTGCCTGCCTTGCCTACTGCCCGCGCGCGCCTCGGCTGCAGCGAGCGTCACCTTTTTTTTCCGCGCGCGCCTCGGTTTCTAGCACACGCGTCACTGTTTTTAGCGCGCGCCACTGCTGCAGAGCCGCGCGCAGCCCGCGTAGAGCCCGCGCGCCCCTTACGCCGTCCGCGCGCAGCCTGCTTAGGCCCGTCGCCGCACGCAGCCCGCAGCCGCGCGCGCTGCCTGTCGCCACGCGCAGCCAGGAGCCGCACGCAGCCCGTCGCCACGTGCAGCCATGAGCCGCGCGCAGCACGTAGCCACGCGCAGCAGAGAGCCGCGCGCAGCCCTCAGCCGCACGCAGCCAGCAGCCGCGCGTGCCCTACCCGTGTACCTGCCTGTGAGGTGTCAGAGTTATTTGACATAGCTACTGTAGGCTATAGTGGGGTAGCACATATGGGGTACAGTTTCCTAGGGTTTGCCTTTTGTACCCAACTTTCACTTAGTCATTTCATTCCTGATTTTTTCTTGATTCACATGGTATAGAGCGGGTTCCTACATGGGACCGTTCCTTCCTAAGGGCCCACCATAAGAAATTTTTTTTTTTTAGCTGCCCGCGCACATTGCGCCCTGCCCTAATTTTTTTTTTTAGCGGCCCCTACGCTGCCCCTACGCGGCCCCTACGCCGCCTCCCACGCGCCCCCTATGCGGCCCCTGGCGGCGCCCTGACGAGGCCCCTGCCGGCGCCCTATCGCGGCCCCTGACGCGCCCCCTGGTGGCGCCCTGACGCGGCCCCTGGCGGCGCCTGACGCGGCCCTGACGCGGCCTGACGCGGCCCCTGGCGGCGCCCTGACGCGGCCCCTGCCGCGGCCCTGACGCGGCTCTGCCGCGGCCCTGACGCGGCCCTGACGCGGCCCTGCCGCGGCCCCTGGCGGAGCCCTGACGCGGCCCCTGACGCGGCGCCCTGACGCGGCCCCTGCCGCGGCCCTGACGCGGCCCTGCCGCGGCCCCTGACGCGGTCCTGACGCGGCCTGCTGCGGCCCCTGCAGCGGCCCTGCAGCGGCCCCTGACGCGGCCCTGACGCGGCTCTGCCGCGGCCCTGACGCGGCCCTGACGCGGCCCCTTACGCGGCCCTGACGCGGCCCTGCCGCGGCCCCTGGCGGCGCCCTGACGCGGCCCCTGACGCGGCGCCCTGACGCGGCCCTGCCGCGGCCCCTGACGCGGCCCCTGCCGCGGCCCCTGACGCGGCCCCTGACGCGGCCCCTGTCGCGGCCCCTGACGCGGCCCCGCCACCTACCTTTCCGGCCCCGCCGCGTCCTCTCAGCGGCCCCGCCGCCTCCTCTCAGCGGCCCCGCCGCCTCCTCCCAGCGGCCCCGGACGCCGCCCTCTCAGCGGCCCCGCCGAGCCGCCCAGCAGCCTAGCCGCCCAGCAGCTGAGCCACCGAGCCGCCCAGCAGCCGAGCCGCCGAGCCGCCCAGCAGCCGAGCCGCCCAGCAGCAGAGCCGCCGAGCCGCCCAGCAGCCGAGCCGCTGAGCCGCCCAGCAGCCGAGCCGCCCAGCAGCCGAGCCGCCCAGCAGCCGAGTCGCCGAGCCGCCCTGCAGCCGAGCCGCCCGAGCCGCCCTGTCCGGTAAGAGCAGCGCCTCTCTCACAGCACTGCCCTCACCCCACTGTTTGCGCTGCTAGTCTACTGCTGTCATGGCTACCCCTAGTGTCCTCGCTTTTGACGCTGAGGGTCGGGCCATTGACTTTGACGTCTGGATAGATGACCTGCAGCTTTTCTTACAGTGCGATAGGGCAGACGGCCTCTCCCTCTTTGACCTCACTTCTGGTGCCTCTCCTGCCCCCGCCACTGATGCTGACGCAACTGTTCGCTCCCAGTGGGCCACGCGCGATGCTGCTGCACGTCTTGCTGTGCGTCGCCACCTGCCTACCTCTGAGCGTGCGCACTTTAGCCAGTACAAGAGTGCTCAGACCTTGTACGACGCTGTAGTTGCACGCTACTCCTCCCCTGCCACTGCTGCACTGAGTCGCCTCATGCTACCGTACCTCTTCCCTGACCTTGCTGCCTTTCCCACAGTCGCTGACCTCATTACGCACCTACGCACTAGTGACACTCGCTACCGCGCTGCGCTTCCTGCTGAGTTCTGCGCCAAGAACCCCCCCCCCATGTACATCACCCTCTACTACATAGTCACCCGGCTCCCTGACTCCCTTCGCGTAGTCAGGGACCACTTCCTCTCAGTTTGCCCCACCACTCTCACCGTTGACCTCCTCGAGAAGTCCCTCCTAGCAGCAGAGAAGAGCATAGTAGCTGTAGGAGCCTCTCGTGGTGACCCTCGCACCCCCATCTTTGAGGGGTGTTCCCCCTCCCCCCTTGTGCCCTCTGTTGCCTCTGCTGCTGCGGCCGACCTCGTTGGGCTTGAGTCGGTCGGTACGGCGTCTACCCCTAGCGGGAGACGCCGCCCTGGCAAGGGCAAGGGGGGCAGGGGCGCTGGAGGAGCTAGCGGGGGCGGTGGAGGCGGCAGTGGAGGAGGTGGAGGAGGTGGCGGTGGCGGTGGGGGTGGTGGCGGGGGTGGAGGTGTCGGTGGCGGCAGTGGAGGCGGAGGCGGCAGCGGCAGTGGCGGAGGGAGCGGAGGTGGCGGCGGTGGAGGAGGAGGCAGCGGAGGAGGTGGAGCTGGTCGGGGTGGCGCTGCGCAGAGGGTCGGCTCCGGTGGTGGTCAGCGCCAGCAGCAGCAGCAGCAGCAGCAGCAGCGCACTCGTGACATCCCCTCCCCTCAGCAGCTCCGTGAGTGGTACACTGCACGCCAGAGGGGTGGGGGTACTGGTCCGTGCACCTACGTCCTCCGCACCGGCGACCGCGCGGGTGAGCAGTGCGGGGGTGCGCACTCCACCCAGCGCTGCTTTGGCCGCCTGACGGACGCTTGGCGTCACCAGTTCCCTGAGGCCACTGAGATCCCCCGCTGGGGTGAGCTGTCTAGGGCGGGTGTGGCTGTCTTTGACCTTGACTTTGATGCTATTCTTGCTGCCATGTATACTGTGACTATTAGTGATGAGGGTGACTGTTACAGGTGTTTTCCGCCCGACCCGGGCATCGAGACTGCTGCTCTAGGTACTGGTGAGGCTGCTGCTCTAGGTGCTAGCGAGGCTGCTGCTCTAGGTGCGTCTGCTCCCTCAGGTGCTGGTGAGTCTGCTCTCTCAGGTTCTGCGTCGGCTTCGGCCTCCCACACCTTCACCCTTGACTCGGGGGCTTCTCGCTCCTTCTTTCGAGACCGCACCACACTCACGCCGCTTAGCCGGCCAGTTGCAGTCTCTCTGGCAGACCCCTCTGGGGGTCCTGTCCTTGCTCACTTCTCCACTGTCCTCCCGTGTCCGGCGGCCCCCTCTGGCACCCTGTCTGGTCTTTACCTTCCCTCGTTCTCTACGAACTTGGTGAGTGGTGCTGACCTACAGGATGCGGGGGTTCACCAGTTCACTCCTGCGAGTCAGCGGGTGACCCACTGCACGGACGCTCGGACAGGCCGCCACCTGGCCACGTTTACACGTCGGCCAGGGTCGAGCCTGTACACACTGACCACTGCGTCTCCTCCAGTCCCTGCGTCTGGTCAGGTAGCTGCGTCGGGTCAGGTGTTTGCTGCAGCGTCCAGGTCTGGTCCTGAGTCTGCCCCCTGCTCGTGTCGCCTCCTGTCTCACGAGACTCTCCTCTGGCACCACCGCCTTGGTCACCCCTCCCTGCTTCGTCTCCGGAGCATGGCCTCCCGTGTCCTTGTCTCTGGTCTTCCCCGGTCCCTCCCTCCCCTTCCTCCGGGGCCTGGCCCTACCTGCGTCCCCTGTGTCGAGGGACGGCAGCGGGCTACCCCT